AAAACAAACAAAAGCCCATTGGGAAAGAACCTGGGAAAACATTGGCAATAAATATTGTTATTACTATATAAGATATTCAACTGAACTGAGAAAATTAAAATAACAAAAATGTGTTTTTATCTATCAAATTAGTAATCAAAGCTTTAAAATTAACGATAGTACTCAGTTTATGAGACTACAGTACATTTGCATTTGGAGACGGGGGTGAGGGCAGAATGCATTTTTAAAAAACTGATTGCCCAGCCCTAGCCGGTTTGGCTCAGTGTATAGAGCATCGGCCTGCGGACTAAAGGGTCCCGGGTTCAGTTCCAGTCAAGGGCACATGCCTGGGTTGCGGGCTCGATCCCCAGTAAGGGGCGTGCAGGAGGCAGCCAATCCATGATTCTCTCCCATCATTGATGTTCTTCTCTCTCTCCCTTCCTCTCTGAAATCAATAAAAATATATTTTAAAAAAACAAACAAAAACTGATTGCCCAGCCAGCATGGCTCAGTGGTTGAGCGCGACCTATGAACCAGGAGGTCATGGCATCACCAGTTAGGGCACATGCCCGGGTTGCGGGTTGGATCCTGCATGCCCAGGTGTGGGGTGTGCAGGAGGCAGCTGATCAATGATTCTCATCATTGATGTTTCTCTCTCTCTTTCCCTTCCTCTCTGAAATCAATCCTATATAATAAAACCCTAATATGCAAATAGACCAAATAGTGAACCAGTTGCTATGACACACACTGACCACCACGGGGCAGATGCTCAATGCAGGATCTGCCCCGTGGTGGTCAGTGCACTCCCACAGGGGGAGTGCCACTCAGCCAGAAGCCAGACTCATGGCTCCCTCTCCCGCCTAAGAGGCCGCGCTGAGGACACCTCAGGGGATGTCAGACTGCCGGCTTAGGCCCGCTCCCCTTGCAGGCCAGGCTGAGGAACTCCCCCTCCTACCCCCAGGGAATGAATGTCATGCACCAGGCCTCTAGTAAAAATATACTTAAAAAGTTTTCAAAATTAGTACTGAGAATAATGTCAACATTTAAAAAAAATCTTTATGTTCTAAATACAGTGTTAAGGCCTATTATTTCACTACAGGCCCAGTGGATGAAAATTCATGCACTGGAGGGGGGGTCCCTCAGCCCGGCCTGCCCCCTCTCACAGTCCAGGAGCCCTCAGGGGTGGGAGGTGACCTGGTGATCAGGGGAAGGCAACGCCCCATCACACCTCTGCTGCTGCCACTGCAGGTAGCACAAGCCTCGGTCAGCCCTGGTTACCTGAGCCTAGGGCGGCCCTGGGCAGCTGGGCAGCCACCACCCGAGGCTTGCCTGTGCCTCGGGCTGGCCCTGGGCAGCTGGGGGACTTAGGGGACTTGAGGACTCCAGAGGCAGGCGTGCCGGCGGGGCCGTGTGGACTGGGAGCAGTCATCTTGTGGCTGTGGGCGCTGCCATTTTTGAGGGTGGGACAGTCAATTAGCATATTCCCTCCTTATTGGCTATGGGTGTCGCCATTTTTGAGGGCGGGGCACCAATTAGCATATTCCCTCTTTTTTTTATTTTTTTTGTTTTATATTCCCTCTTTATTAGATAGGATTATATTCTCAAAACAATCCTATTAGGTCATTTAACAGAGCAGAGTTGGATGTTAAATAACTTGTTCAAGTAGTGACACTGATTCTGAACTATACTACCTGTCTCAGATAGTTCCTTTTGAAATTAGTGGCCATTATTAATCATCTTAAGTTCTTTACTTAAGTTATCTGCATACCTATGGATTTATACTGTTTTAACACATAAAAAATGTGTCATCATAATCCAAACTAGTCTGCAATGAGAAAAGTATGAAACTGAGAGAAAGCCTTCAAAAATTTTATAGCAATACGATCATTATAATTACTAAAGGAGTCATTGTATGTCTCTTCAATTTAATAGCACTGCATTTGGGCCTGTATTTTACACATCCCCCCCCCCCCCTTTATACTCTAAGTATTTCATTTTTACAAATATATTGGGTCTTCAATGAAATGGAAATTAAAAACAAAAGCTGGTCATTTACCAGATAGCTTGAGGAATATTGCCCTAGAGGTCTGGTGCAAACATAGCTTGTTCTCCCTTACCAGCTCTGTGACAAAAAGAAGACATGCTCAGGTAAATAACAATCCTCAGATAACTGATCTAAAATCCCACTTTAGCCATTGTTAATATCTGAACTTCATCATCACTCAGAGCACCTGCTAAGCTGGGTTTATACTAGGCAATGTTAAGTTGTAGGCTCTCAACACACACATGTAGTATTTCCATTTAGAGCCAAAGAAAACTGCTCATTAACAATTGAATCTAAAAATCACAATACAATATAAATATACAGATGATGTATTATAGAATTGTATACCTGAAACCTATATAATTTATTAACCAATGTCACCCAATACAATAAAAAAGAAAAAAAGAAACAGCTCTGATTCTAGCATACTTCATTAATTTATCCAAGTTACATAATCTGAGTCCTCATCTGTATCTCACTGAGTTTTTAAAACAAAGTTAGGTAATGTATGCATTAAAAAAAAATCAGCTCAATGTTGGTATTAGATACCAAAGGGAAACTGAAAAGAAGCAGCAGCAACTCAAGCCTCCCTTCCACCTGGCTGTGGCTTTAACTATGTCGCAAACTCACAAGGCCTAGTCCCACCTCCTTTCCCATCCACAGGCTATCTTCAAGGCCTACCTTACACCTCAGCTGTAACTTTTCCTTTCTACTTCAGGCCCTTCTCCTTTTCCCTATCCTGGGAAAGCACTTCCAGGACCCGCAGTAAAACGGCCTCTTTTACTCAACTCCAGGTCATACTTATGAAATCCTGTTGCCCCCAATGTAGCAGTTTTTCTCCCTAAATCTTTGAGCTCTGTGCACGTTGCGCACTCTTTATGGCAACCTGAAGAACCCATCTCCATTTTCATTGAACAACGCTTTCATCAGTCTTCCTTTCACCAGTTAACGTTTGTTCAGGTAATGACAACTAACCAAAATTTAAAAACATATTAACAAAAATTTCACTTCTAAGCAAACAGATCTGAAAACAACTTCAAATATCCATTCCAATGATCTTCTTTAAAAGGAAGTGTGAGTTAAAAACAACCTAATTAAAGTTTTTTTTTAAATATATTTTATTGATTTTTTACAGAGAGGAAGGGAGAGAGACAGAGAGCCAGAAACATCGATGAGAGAGAAACATCGATCAGCTGCCTCCTGCACATCCTCCACCGGGGATGTGCCCGCAACCCAGGTACATGCCCCCGACCGGAATCGAACCTGGGACCCTTCAGTCCGCAGGCCGACGCTCTATCCACTGAGCCAAACCGGTTTCGGCTAATTAAAGTTTTTTAAAGAATATTTTCTTTCTCCATTCTAACACGGGTATCCAAAACACCACCTCTCTTAAAAAAAAACACACAAAACTATGCTTGATATTCTCCAAAAAAGAAGTTATACTGATATTAATTCCTATGAACAAACAACATTCGCCATTTGCATTTCTTCAGAGCAATCCGAAACCTTCATTCCTTGAAACTTCTGAGAAACCAAAAGAATGTTAGTTGGTGCCTCTCTCCAGGGAAAATGCACAGAGCTCCGGACTTCCGGCTGCGGTTCCAGGGAGCTGGGAGTGCTCCAGGACCTGCAGCGGATCCACCCACCCGGGTCCAGCACTCGGATGCTGACTATAAGGCTTGTTCCTATTGTTAAACGTTGTGCACCTTTTAAAAAGATGGTCTTCCTTAACAAGACCTTTAGCCCTGGGATTAACTGAGGGAGCGGCTTTCCTTCACCACTCCCACTACTTCCCAGCGGCCAGCCGGCCAGCTGCCGAACAACTGCGAACTGCTTACCTCCGAGAAATTAACAGCCAAGGGAATGATTCCAGCCACGTAACATCCCGCCAGCATAGCCAGAGACAGCAGGCTGATGGAGATGAAATCATCCATTCTGCCCTCCTGTACGCGCCCACCACCACCGGACTACAGATTTTCAGCGGCTTCCACGGGTTCTTATACGCGCGTCGTGACTCCAAGCGAACGAGAGGGACTTTCCAGTTCTGCCGTCCTCCCTGCCGGCGGAGGTGTTCACGGAGCGCCTTTCTCCTGAGCGTACCTGGAAACAGCCCCTGTGGGCTGATGGTAGCATCAGAGAGAACTTTCAGCAATCTTAGGTCCCCAGCCCCTGAGTTTTCAGACTCCAGTCCCTGGATTCCGGTGCGTTCACAGAGAAGGGAAAAGTCAATGGGGGAAAAATACGCCAAGAAGCGATTCCTTCAATGGTCGGAATGAGAAGGGCACAATGGGCCCACTCTCTCCACAGACAACGTTGCAGGCGGCAGCAGGAAAAGGAGAAAACCCAAGCGAACTTGTTCGTCCTCCCGGCACCCCCTAGGTCTTCGGGGCACCCTGCTGGAACCGGTGATCCCTCCCAGCTGGAACCAGCCCACCGGTCCCGGCAAACTCTCCTTCGAGTTTCGAATGAGGAAAGGAGTCCTGTACGTCTCTAACGACGAGACTGGAGTTCAGCAGCGAATCCGATACAAAGCTCCCTCCGCCCTATAGCCGATGCTCTCCATATCACTCCTCTCCGCTGGGCTTTGACCCGGAGCCACAGATACTACCGCAGCCATGGCCGCCAAGTGGCACCTCTTCATTATATCCACTTCCGGATTGCCTCATCGCCCCCTCCTTTAAATGGGTTCTTCCGGGTAACAACTGACCTATGGCCCGGCATTCTTACACTGCCGCCATTTTTGAGCAACTATTTCCGCCCCCCCTTTTTTATTGTGTGCTCTGCCTTTTAAATAGTGACTTGTGTCACTATTTACATCTGTGATCACGTTAGCTGTATGTCTCACAATGAGAGTAAGGCCGATAAGCGTTTTGGGGGGGAAAAAATTATTTTTCACATTCCAGAAGTTTCCCTGTGTAGCTCGTCGCCCTTATCCAAGATGGCTGAAACAGGGCCGGAATCCGCTCTAGTTGCCGGAAGTATGTGAGACTCTATGGTCCCATTGGCTCTTTCGCGCTGCGCCTCTGACGACTTCCGGCGGCTCCTCTCGCGGGGGTTGGCTGTTGGCGGCGTTGTGGTTGAGCTCGTGTGTGGCGGTGTGTCGGCGGCGGCTGCAGTGAAAGAGTTTGGCGCGATGGTAAGAAAAGTCTGAGCGGCTCCTCGAGCCCCCAGCCTCCGGGTGACTCCAGCCCCGTCCATCTTTGACCTAGCCCGTCTAGCGCGAGCGTGCTGCTCCCCGGCCCTCCGCCTGGTGGGTCGACCCTTTCCCTTTCCCTTCCCGCCGCGGAAACGCTGGGCCTGGCCGTAGGCCCCGAGCCCGGGTCCGCCCTGCGGTTGCGCGCCCTCCTGCTGGCTCCGGCGGGGCGTGCGGCGCCCGGGATGCGCTTGTTTCTGACTCGGTAGGGTCACACGTAGGGATGCTGCTCTTTCCCTTCTGACGCCTCAGCCTTCGGTAGGAACAATGGCGAGGGAATGTCCGGAAATCTGTTCCCAGAGCTAACAGTTTGAATTGATTGCAGCCAGGGTTTGGGCCAGGAAGGGGCGTCTTTGCTTAGTAATGTGCTTTCGCAACGATTCTCCCCCACCCCCGCTTTTTTTATTCTGTGCTCTACCTTTTAAAAATATATGTAACTCTTTCTCTTTCCCAGGACCCTTGGTGCCTGGTCTGGCGTTACTCTCAGCCAGGGGTCCTCAAACTACGGCCGCGGGCCACATGCAAATACAAATATTGTATTTGTTCCCGTTTTGTTTTTTTACTTCAAAATAAGATATGTGCAGTGTGCATAGGAATTTGTTCGTAGTTTTTTTTAAACTATAGTCCGGCCATCCATCTGTCTGAGGGACAGTGAACTGGCCCCCTGTTTAAAAGCTTGACTCTTTAAAAAGTCTCAGCCCTCAAGCCTGTTCTTACCCGCATTTACGTTCTGTTGGAAATGGGGGCTGAAAAGATAGGCTCGGCGTGGGGGTCCAGGTTCCCTACAATCTGGCCCGGGTAGTAGAGGAGTGGGCGGGCGGGCGGGCGGGCTTTTTTTTCCTTCTTTTTTTTAATCCCCAAAAGGGAGATGCTCACAGGGATTAAGGGGCTACTTCAACTTTCCTTTTTGGTTGCTGCAGTTACTGTTCACAGGCTATGCCACTATTGTTAAGAAGGCACTTTTTCAGGTTGTACTTTTATGAATTAGGATATTTCAGTATTTGACCCAACATAGCCTCCCAAGGAGGACTACTCATTCGAAAATTGGGTTTCCAGTTCCTGTTTTGTCATAAGTAGCTATGTGACCGTGGGCGAGTCATTTTATCTCTGAGTTTCCTTCTTTCTCTACCTTTTATGTCACTGTTGGGTATTGTGTTACAGTGCTCAGGTCAAAATCTGAAAAAGTGGCAGCAGTTAATATTGACCTATCCTCGTTGGATAAATATCAGTGATGATTCCTTATAAAATTGAAAATTGGAATTCATATTTAAAATGAATGATTACTGCTTCGAAAGCCTTAAACACCTTTGCTTTTTAGTTTCTTTCAAAGCTAATGAGCAAATTGTATGTAATGTAGTATTTCTTCCTCCGTAGAATCACTGAGAATCTAGGGTTCATGTCTGTTAGAGTTGAAAAAAAGTAACACAGCCGGATTAACATTCATTAGAGTGAATCATAGCTGCTTGGTAAGCAGAGAAAAGGGATTTTATTAAAGGTAATTCTGCATAACTTTTTTTTTTCTGATTAGGTTTCACAATCTTATTTTCCTGTTGTGGCAGATATATTTATATAAATACGTATTTCTATTTGCCTACATGTAATGTTAACGTAAAAAAAAATTCAAACCTGTAAAGAATTTTTGTGAGTTTACTTGAGCCAAACTGTTGACAATTGCCGGGAAGCAGAATCTCAATGTAATGGGATTATGTTCTGGAGAAGGGCAGTTTTTTTATCTTGTTATATACATTACAATCAAAAGAGGGGATGTAAGTGAGTGACATGAACTCCATTGGTGATAGACTAGGGAGGCGGCAGATAGCAAAGCGGGAGACCTCTGGGATGGGATTCTTTTACTGAGGTGGGTGCCGGATAGTTAACAGTCAACAGTTAATAACAATGAGGAGTTTGTGGTCTCTGCAGAGTGGTGTCTGTGCTTTGAGGGGTCCAGAAAAAGGGAAATTACTTTGACACTCCATTGATACGTTATTGTAGATTCAAAAAGCAATAGGCTCAGTTTAGGTAAAGATTGACCTTTGTCGGGGAAGATAACCAGCCCAGGACGTGACTACCCACCATAACTGCTTTTAGTTAAAGTTTTAATTTCAGGCCATCCTTTATGGTTACTTCAGGTCTTTGAGTTTGGGAGACTGCCATGCAGGCCTTCCCTGAGCTTGTTAGGTTAGTACAGCCGAGGGCAAACTACGGCCCGGCCCGTTTGAAATGAATAAAACTAAAAAAAAAAAAAGACCGTACCCTTTTATGTAATGTTTACTTTGAATTTATATTAGTTCACACAAACACTCCATCCATGCTTTTGTTCCGGCCCTCCGGTCCAGTTTAAGAACCCATTATGGCCCTCGAGTCAGAAAGTTTGCCCACCCCTGGATGTGGCCCCTTTTTTGTCCACAGTACTTACAGTTTGTGTGTGTGTATATATATATAATTTTTTAAAAATGTATATTTTGCAGTGGTGGTTCTCTCTCTCTCTCTCTCTCTCTCTCTCTCTCGAGAGAGAGAGAGAGAGAGAGAGAGAGCCATAAGGAAGCCACGGACTAAATCTATCCAGAAGAAGGGAAAAACTAAGATAAATATATTGGGATTTTTAATAAAACCAAAAAGCTCCAAAAATAGCTCTAATAAGAAGAAAGTGACCAAAACTGGTTTGGAAAGTATTATGATTTTAAACTGGTTAACAGGAAAGCACTACCACTTAAAAAATAATCATTTTCGCCCTGACTGGTTTGCTCAGTGGATAGAGTGTCAGCCTGCGGACTGAAGGGTCCCAGGTTCAATTCTGGTCAAGGGCACATGCCTGGGTTGCGGGCTTGATCCCCAGTGGGGTCATGCAGGGGGCAACCGATCAATGATTCTCTCTCATCATTGATGTGTCTCTCTCTCCCTCTCTCTTCCTCTCTGAAATCAATTAAGATATATTAAAAACAATAATAATCATTTTGACTACAGTTGTAAATTTGGTCATTTCTTAGTAATTTTTAACCCTTACTTTTGAGCAGTAAGTATTGAAAATAGATTTGCCATGAAGGACTTTATATCATACTCTGAATTTCTCAAACATGAATTAGAACCTTATATTGAAATCACATTTTTCCATTTTAGTCTCACACCATTTTGCTGGTACAGCCTACCAAGAGACCAGAAGGAAGAACTTATGCTGATTATGAATCAGTGAATGAGTGCATGGAAGGTGAGTTTAAACACAAATCAAGGGGTAGAAATCATTTTCCCCTGATATTCACTATTAGAATATGTCTCATTTAGGAATTGGGTTTGTTTTGTCCTCCAGATTTCTTGGATTCTTCATTTGAGCAGCAGAAATAGATAGTTAGGGATATTGTTAGAAATAAAAATTACCTCAGAGAATAAAGGTAAATGGAACCAAATCAGTGCAATTTGTTGTGTATTTGATAAGCTTATACTACTGCAGTGATAGTGAACCTATGACACGTGTGTCAGAGGTGACACGCGAACTCATTTTTTTGGTTGATTTTTGTTAAATGGCATTTAAATATATAAAATAAATATCAAAAATATAAATTTTTGTTTTACTATCGTTGCAAATATCAAAAAATTTCTATATGTGACATGGCACCAGAGTTAAGTTAGGGTTTTTCAAAATGCTGACACGCCGAGCTCAAAAGGTTCGCCATCACTGTACTACTGTGAACAGAACTATTAGCCCTTAGTGTTTCTTTACTTGGTAAACCATTAGATGAGAGCATGTAGATTACAGTCACGGATTTTCATTTTTATATTTAATCATATATATATAAGCCTAAAATGCAAAGTGTCCCTGCTGGAGTTTGACTGACGGGGAGTTCGATCACTTGCTATGATGTGCGCTGACCACCAGGGGGCGGCGCGGAATGAAGGAAGGCCCCAGCTAGCAGCTGCTAGGGACCCTACCCGTACACGAATTTCATGCACTGGGCCTCTAGTTACATCATAGAAACCAGTTGTACATGCCCTGTACCCTTTCTAGTAAATAGTCCATTGTTTTCCTATATGGATTTTATAGTCATCTTTTAGCTGCTGCTAGGCATGCCTCTGGATTTGTTGCTATCTAATGCTAACTGGATTAAATGTTCGTTGGGAGTCAACAATGGGTAGACCTATGAAAAAAGGCTACTTATAATTAAAGACAGATTCTAGGTAGCTGGTACCATGCTTTTTGCCAATTTTTTAATTGAGTTGTTTTCTTATTGAGTCTTAGGAGTCCTTTGCATATTTTGGATAACAGGTTCTTTATCAGATATAAGTACTGCAAAGATTTTCTTTTTCAGTTTGTGACTTGTCTTCACTTTTTTTATTTTTATTGATTTTAGAGAGGAAGGGAGAGAGATAGAAACATCAATGATGAGAGAGAATCATTAATCAGTTGCATCATGCACACCCCACACTGGGGATTGAGCCCACAACCCCGGCATGTGCCCTGACTCGGAATTGAACCATGACCTCCTGGTTCATAGGTCAACGCTCAACCGCTGAGCCATGCTGCCCAAGCCTTTTCACTTTCTTGATAGTGTCTTTAAAGCACAAAAAGTTTAAATTTTTATGAACTCTGGCCAGCAACTCCAGTACAATGTTGAATACAAGTGGCAAGAACAGATAGATATTGTAATGTTCTTCCTAATCTGAGTGGGAAAGCATCTAGTCTTTCACTGTTAATTATGATGGTAGCTGTGGGTCAGTGCAAGTATTTGAAGCGGAAATGGACCGAAAAGGTTATGCTTGCATTTTGTAGGAACAAGAGAAGAGTGTGTCACTGAATAAAAAATAATGTGCCTTTTAGATATTTCTGTTAATGTAGGCTTTCTGTCAGTGATTTTGCTTGTTTTATTGTATTTTTATTACTTATATTTGAGTACTTATGTGCTTATTATATGTGCTAGTCGCTTTTTATGTGTTATTTCATATACTGTTCACAAGAGCTCTATGAAGGTACTGTTATCTCCATTTGACAGAGTTCAGGAGATGGAGTCAAGTCTGAATCCACAGTCAAGGATGTTAAATACTGTTATGATAATCTCTTCCTCGTTGCCTATTTTGTTTTGTTTTTGGGGGGGGGGGGGTGTTGTCTGTGGTGTCTTTTTTGCATTGTATCAGATTTTGAAAGCAAAATAGAAAAGCATCTGTTTGTCATCTATCATTCCTAAGTGGTGATTTTCTTTACTCTGAGGCTTTAGGAATGTTTATATTGAAAAGCCTGATAAGACCCATTATTTAGTCCTCACTTGTTGGAACCATCATATGATAAGTCTTTAAAGTCCTTTTAGATCCAATGGCTTGTAGTTATCATTTTATTATTAAGGCACAAAACACCAACATTTTGGTGAATTTATAAATTTTTTTAATATGGAACATTTTGCAAATTTGTGTGTCATCCTTGTGCAGGGGGCCATGCTCATCTTTGTATTGTTCCAGTTTTAGTGTATGTGCTGCCAAAGCGAGCACTGTACTTTTTTTTTTTTTTAATGAAATAGCTAGTGGTAACAGTGAAAACAAATGTAGCCAACTTATTTTCCCAGCCCAAGTTTATGAAAATAAGTATTGTAATATCATATAACACTATTCATATTTAAAGTTTAAACAATTGTAAAATCTTGGTTTCCTCCCTCCCCCATTCTCTTAGGTGTTTGTAAAATGTATGAAGAACATCTGAAGAGAATGAATCCCAACAGCCCCTCTATCACATATGATATCAGCCAGTTGTTTGATTTTATTGATGATCTGGCGGACCTCAGCTGTCTTGTGTAAGTATTTACCACCATGTATCTTAAGTTGTATTTTTCTGTTGTTTATTCATCTATTTAAGGTGGTTTATGGTGTTGGGAGCTCACTCTGTGCCTGACACTGATCTTTGCATTCTGACTGCTAGGTAGTAACTAATATTTCCTCTACATATGGCTCATAAGTTATGTTGGCAACATAAAGACAGGAAAATGTAAGAACTTTGCTAATTTGATGCAGTTAGTATGCAGAGAGGATGCTAACTAAGAAGTTCAAAGTTGTGATTCTTTGTTCCTTAAACTAAACAATCTTTTTTCTTAGTTTTTTCCCCCCTTGTGGTCTTTGTCCTTAAAACAAAGGCTTTGGCCCTAACCGGTTTGGCTCAGTGGATAGAGTGTCGGCCTGTGGACTAAGGGTCCCAGGTTCAGTTCCGGTCAAGGGCATGTACCTTGGTTGTGGGCACATCCCCAGTAGGAGGTGTGCAGGAAGCAGCTGATTGATGTTTCTCTCTCATCGATGTTTCTGACTCTCTTTCTCTCTGTAAAAAATCAATAAAATATATTTAAAAAAAACAAAACAACAAAGGCTTTGGATTAAAACTAAGGTTATTTTGTCTTCATAGCACTATTTTTAAAATGTAAATATATGCAAGACTGAAATGGAATTTAATTTTAATTCTACCCAGTGTTAACCATGTATATTTTGGTATGTTAGAATGAGATTTTTTAGACCCACATTTTCTATTCTCAGATTTTTTTCATGCCAGACACTGTGCTAGAAGTAACTGGTTTTTGGTGGTGAAAAATATGTATGCCCTAATTCTAAAATAAAAAGCTTGGAAAGCTATAAGAGGCCAACAAAGCTGCAGGTATGCTAACGAGAAAAGAGGAATTGTAGGCAGCCAACAAGGAGAACCAAGAACTGATGACATGATCTAGAGTGAGAAATTGATGACTTTAGTTAGGATCATGGACAGTTCAGTAACAGTAAAATAGGGAGTGCATGCAGATGTAGAGTTGGAGAAAATTGTTTTCGTTTTGCCAGGAAAATAGGAAGCATGGACACCATTTAGAGTCAAGGGTGAGGGAGAAGGTAGTGAAGGTTTATGGAAGGTAGGAAATAATCCAGAAGGGTGAAGGGGTTAGGGAAATGTGTGATTTATGAGATATCTGATAATACATTTAAAATGAAATAAATCATTGTGATAATGGGTTTTTTCCTAGTCTTTTAAAAAAAAAAATTTATATTGACTTTAGGGAGAGAGAGGGAAACATCAATTTGTTGTTCCACTTATTCATTCATTGATTGGTATGTGCCTTAACAGGGGATCAAACCCAAAACCTTGGCATTTCGGGATGAAGTTCTAACCAACTGAGCGCACCTGGCTAGAGCCTAGTCACTTTTAACCTGATGGTTACAGGTAGATAATTAGTAAATACACTGTTAAAAGTTGAGGGTATATGCAAGTGAGTATTGTGCAGGGGACTGAATGACCATGAAATAAATGTAAGTGGGGTTTGGGGTGGGGTGGAGACAGAAATAGGATCAATTAATTATAGGTCACAGTGGGGTCAAAGGGTTGTTGAATGAGATGCTTGAAATTGGGTTATTGATGTTGATAGTAATAAGGTAAAGTAAAACCTCTTCAACATCTACCATCTGGAACAATTTGGTTCTCAACAAAGTTGTTCACAAGACAGAAAAAATGTAAAAATGTCTCCTTTGGGGTTGACAACCCTTTCAGCTGATACATCAACATGACAAAAAGCATCTCTCAGGACATTGTGTTGTGAATATTTTCATGTTTTTTTGTTTGTTTTTTACTTTTGTTGCTGGCAAAATGGACGATTAGCACAATTTTAAAACATGAGGCCATCAAGAGTGCTGATGTTGCTAAGGGTGTGAAAGTGCTCTGAAACAACTATCACAGACAATTGAATAAGTAGAGAAATTGTTAATTTGATAAATCAACCTGTGATAGCATTTAGAAGGAAAAAGCGAAGATGCTGCATATTGACTTCTTGTAAGACAACCCTACATTGAGTGCTAAAAGTGATTCATTTACGGCTAGTAGGGGGTGGGGTTCGATAAATTTAAGAAAAGCGTTTGTTTATAGATTACAAACAGTACATTAGACATGTACTATATATAAGAAAGGTTAAAACGGAATCATTTGGAGGTCTTACATTATTTCTAATGGGGGAAAATGATTCTGTTTTCAAACAAATCCTTTTTTGAACAGCCTTCTGGAATGAATTAAGTTGGAGAACCCAGGTTCGACTGTAAAGGGATCTGGTCAAAGAAAGGGAAGGGACAGGATCATTGGAGGAGAAACGTTCAAGGAACTGAGAGGCCCAGATGTTGGCATTTCATCTACTGAATATGAAATCACCGATACCATATATTTACTTTCTAGAATTTAATGTGAGAACAGGGAGTAGGATGCTGAATTACTTAAATTTAAGGCTCATGCTTTAGTCACCATGAGAGGTTTTGGTTAAGAGCTAGCTGGAGTTTCAGAATTAGCCATAGCTGTGCTTGAATGCTGGCTCTGTCTTTGGCTGGTTACCTGGGGCAAGTTAGTTTAATATTGCTAATCCTCAGTTTGCTAATTTGGAAAATTTAGATAAATTTACCTCACAGGACTACCTGTGAGGATCCAGTGCTTGCTTAGCACAACAGTATTGGCTAAATAACAGGAACTCCATTTTTAATCCTCACCCAAGGATATTTTTCTATTGATTTTTAAAGAGAGGAAAAGATAGAAATATCTATGTGAGAGAAACACATAGATTGTTTTGCCTCCTGCACGCACCCTGACCAAGGCCCAGGCCAGAGAGGCACCTGCAACTGAGGTACATGCCCTTGGCCAGAATCAAACCATGGACCCTTCAGTCCACAGGCCGATGCTCCATCCACTGAGCCAAACCAGCTAGGGCAGGAACTCCATTTTTAAATAGAGTGACAAAATTAGGGCAGGGTTTTTATGTATTTAATATATTTTTATTGATTTCAGAGAGGAAGGGAGAGGGAGAGATAGAAACATCAATGATGAGAGAGATTCATGGATCGGCTGCAGGGTTTTTATGTATTTAATATATTTTTATTGATTTCAGAGAGGAAGGGAGAGGGAGAGATAGAAACATCAATGATGAGAGAGATTCATGGATCGGCTGCCTCCTACATGCCCCTTACTGGGGATCAAGCCCGCAACCCGGGCATATGCCCTTCGCTAGAATCGAACCCAGGACCCTTCAGTCCGCAGGCCAATGCTCAACCAGCTAGGGCTAGGGCAGGTTTTTAAATTACAAATCGATTTATTATTTAAAATTTGCCACAAATAGGATGATAATTTTGAAATGCCACAGTTGAGTTAAATTGTACTGTTAACTAATAAAAAGGTGTTGGGGTTTTTTGACAGTGAAAATTACACAAAGTAAAAATGGTTTTAAGAGATATACTGCAGCCCTAGCAGGTGTGCTCAGTGGTTGTAGCATCAGCCCACAGACAGAAGGGTTTCAGGTTCAATTCCTGGCCAAGGGCATGTACCTGGGTAGTGCTGGTTTGATCCCCTTGGTTGGGGTGCATTGCAAGAGGCAGCCAAATTGTGTGTCTCTCTCACATCGCTGTTTCTCTTTCCCACTTCCCCCTCCCTCAATTCCACTTTCTCTAAAACTCAGTGAGGAGAAATCCTCAGATGCGGATTAATAACAAATAGACACAGTGCAAGTATGTCATTATGACAATTAGTACATCCTGCCCCTCGCCTTTTTCTGGGATTCTGTCTTGGGCTGTTGTTTACTCCTTAGGCCAGGAATTGAGTTCAATTTTGGTTTGTTGTTCTTTTGTTTTTTTTAAATATTTTTTTTATATTTATAGAAAGGAAGGAAGGGGGAGAGAAACATCAACGTGAAAAACATAGATTGGCTGCCTCCTGCCCACCCCCTACTGGGGATAGAGCCTGAAACCCAGGCATGTGCCCTGACAGGGAATCATACATACTTTCAACCTTTCAGTTCACAAGAGGACACCCAACCAACTGAGCCACAACAGCCAGGGCAAGCCCAATTTTGGTTTGTAAATTACTGTGTACTCATTAAGTTTATTTGGCAATGACAGGACTTTTTATACGATGAAAGTAACAGCTTTTTAAATATGTAGGCTGTTTTTGTTTAAAGACAAAAGGGACATTTTTATTCTTAGTTATTGTAATGAGGAGGTACTCATCAGAAAGACAACCTGAAAGCAGTGAAGACACTGGCTGATTTCAACTCTCAGCCCCTAGCTTCTATTCTATAAACCTGCAGTCTGAGCATAACACTAGGCTAAATGATTCATCTGTGCCAACAACTTGGGATTTTATAAATGTACTTAACATTTAATTGTCTCATTTTCAAGCACCAGTTAGCAGCCATCAACACACAGCTTTCCATAAAGAAAGCGTTATTACTTTTTCTTGAGTTGAAAATAGTGTGCAAGTTGATGAATTCCTAAATGTTCACTACCAAAGTGATCTTATTGGGGTGAGGGTGTAGTCTAAATAAATAAGGCTGTTCCACCCAGATATTAGAGTTCTGAAAATTCCTATTCCTTTTTTAGTTCTTTTCCAGTGTTACTATAAATATATTAGTCTATTCTGCCATACCATGAAATAGACTAGATTAGTACTTAATTAGGAAGGGGGGCGGAATTTATTCAGCCCCGCCAGCAGGACTCAGTGATTGAGCATCAACCTACGAATCAGGAGGTCACGGCACATTTTTAGAGAGAGGAAGGGACGGAGACAGGAAGGGTCAGGGCACATGCCCAGATTGCAGGCTCTATTTCCAATGTGGGGCTTGCAGGAGGCAGCTGATCAATGATTTTATCATTGATGCTCTCCCCTTCCTCTCTAAAACTTTTGCCGAAACGGTTTTGCTCAGTGGATGCGCGTCGGCTTGCGGCCTGAAGGGTCCCAGCGTTGTATTCCGGGTTCAAGGCATGTAAACTGGGTGCGGCGCATCCCCGTGGGATTGCGCAGCAG